AGTCACACACCCTGACTCAGATCCACCTGTGCTGTCACTCACTGAAGTCTCACATGGACTCAGATCCACCTGTGCTGTCACTCACTGAAGTCACACATGGACTCAGATCCACCAGTGCTGTCACTCACTATAGTCACACCCTGACTCAGATCCACCTGTGCTGACACTCACTGAAGTCACACAAACCCTCTTTTTCTATTTGTGGGCTCACCAAGGCTATTTTAGTACAGATGTGTGGTTTTTACAAGCAGAACTTATCATTTTTAATTTTTTATTTTTTGCAGTATTTGGGATGGAACCAAGCCTCATGCATGCCTTGCAGAGGCTCTACCTGAGCCACACCCCAGYCCCAAACTTTTAAATATCCTGTAGTAAACTTTCAACACTCCTCTGTCCACTTCTTCCTTCTCAACGTTTACCTGATGTCCTCTGGCCACCACTGTGACACTTTGGTCTCAGGGGGAGGAACACTGGCCCACCCCGATGCCCACTTTCATGTGGACGCCTGCTGGGGAGCTGGGTACAGTGAAAAGTAGTCACCTCTTGTCTTCTGGTCTTCTTAGAGGGGTTCTCAACTAAGGGTTTTAAGGTCTCAGTGGACTGACTTCAAGGAGTCTGTGCCACTCAACCCTCACATGGGAAGGACGCAGGATGCTGTCAATGCCTTCCCTCTCTGGCCTCGACGTGTTCTGCAGCCCATCAAGTGTGTTTGCAGAGAATCTCTGTTCGGGCCTCCAGATCCATCCCGGGGCCCTGGCCAGCAAAACCTCAGAAAGCACTCAAGGTGCTTCTTTCCCAGGAGCCCTTGCCCTGGAGTTCACGTCTACCACCGCAGGCAGCACCTGGGCACCCCGTATCTCAGCACCCCTTAGAAACAGCCAGGGTCACACCAAGCAGAGTTTATTGAGGCCATCGCAGGGCCCACATACACAGGGTGCATCGCACGCAGGGCAGACACACACTGGACTGAGGGGTGTCAGCGGCAAAGCAGATGAGAAGGGGCGCCTGGCGGGCACCTCCTCCTAGCAGCATGGGGACTTTGGGGCGAGCATCAAGAACCACTCCTCGTCGCCCCACAGCTCTCCTGGGGACCCTTTCCCATGCCCCCCAAACTCCCTGGGGGGTGGAGGTCCCTCTCTCTCTGTGGTCAAGGATGGAATGATCCCTGGAGATTCACTATAAAAATTAAAATTCCTTTATAAATCACAGGGGAAGGGCAGGAGGGGATCCCTGGGGAGCCTGGCATCACCTGCCACCTCCAGCCTCGCCTTCCTTCACCCCCAAGTTCTGACCCCAAAGTAGAGGGCAAAGAGCAAGGTCTGCAGGCACAGAAAGGGTATGAGACAGGAAGGGAAAGGAGGCTCAGGGACAGGAGAGAAGAGGGCGTCGGGAAGGGTGCGTCAGAGGAAACGGGGGCCAGGGCTCCGTGGCCTCGCAGCTCCCACGATCGTTCCCTGGGGGTGGAGGACAAGAATTCCCAGCCCAGAAACTCCCACCAACTTAAGGTCCCACGTGCCCCCAGTCCTGTCCTTGCCAAAGCCACAGTGGCCTCCAGACACTCCAGTGGTGGCTGCACTGGAGCAGAGGGGCAGGAGCCAAGGGCRGGGCAGCTACTCCAGGTAGATGTCCTCTGTGGGGCAGGCATACGCCAGGTGCTCCTGGTAGTACTCCAGAAAGGCGCGGCTGCAGGAGAAGCACCAGTCCTCAGTTCCCTCGCCTGCTGTCTGTCCCTCCCACCTGCCAGCAGTCACATCCATACCACTCTCCCACCATGAGGTCCCACCCCTCGTGGCCACGCTCCTGTCTCCCTCTTTGTGGCTCTCAAGACTCACCCACACACCCACCCAAGGCCCCACTCACCCCACACTCTGCGCCACTGGCCTCATGGACTCCTGGGACACAAAGACATGGCAGGCGAAGCGGCTCAGCAGGGGGTGCTTAGTGATGAAGCCAAAGTAGCTGCAGGGAAGTTGGGGAGGAGGTGTCAGAGCACTGAGCCAGCTTCAGGCACCCCAAATGATMTGGGAAGAAGAGGCAGGAACTACGGGCTTGAGGGGAGAGTGGAGGACAGGAGGTGGGGTCACGATGTCAAGATCTGAAGGTACCTTTCTGGGCACCCCAGGGAGCTAATGCTGAGTCAGCACCTTGACCAGGGCTTCCCATGTACAGGGGAGCAAGGCAGCCTCCCCGTACCCTGCCCGGAGGCTGCCTGGGCTAGATGAGCTGGCTCTGCCCCATTCAGGCTCCCCCGTGGGTTGTCCAGTCCCACCTCTGGCCCTGCAAACACAGCTCCTTTCCAAGCTCTGACCCAGGGTTGGATGTCACCCCAACTCTAAAGCCATCTTGGATTCCGTCACGGGCTCTGACTGGAGGAAGCACTGTCCTCCCAACCACTTGGGTCACACACACCCTTCCTGCATCGCCCCATGCTCTTCTCCAGAGTACTAGTCACCACTGTTCAGAGGGAGTGGCGGTCAGACCTGCAGCGTGACTCCAGATCCCCGTCCCACCGACCCTGGGCCAGCTAGATCCACTCTCTATGGCTTTGGGTCTGTGGTTCTACCAGATGGGAAGTCACACAACAGTATCAATAGTGACCTATTGTCCATAGACAAGACCTGTCTCAAATAATCATGTTGTTAACATTTAAATGTTGCTTACTAATGTTAGGAAGGCACTGTATTAAGCACTTTCTGAACTCACAAACCTCACAAAAGCCTCAAGAGGTAGTGTCCTGATAGAGAGCTGAGCAAAGAGATCAATGTCTTGCTCAAGGACACCATGGACATCCTGTGGATGTGCTGCAGGTAGGCAAGACAGTCTGTGATCTTAACCTGCCTGCCTCATCCACACACAGCATGCCCCATACTCCTGCTCTCCCGCCTGCCTCACAAGGAAGTGAGTGAGCTGTTCCCAACACCATGTCCTCAGTGCTCCTTGCTGTGAGGGACCAGGCTGGGACCTGCAGCAACAAACCTAAGAAGGGTCTGGTTGACAGCAGCTCCCACGCCTCCTCACTGGCCACCGCAACAGCTTGACCCCAACCCCTGGTATGACATCTCTCTTCCATGGAACTCAGCTGAGCCAGTGTCCCCCTGATGGCGTCAGCTTGTGGCTCCTACAATGTCCCTCTAAAGAGAAACAGGTGGCTTTTTTCATCTCTAACGGTGCCGTCGCATCCTGCRGCCCTAGAACCGTCCTGTAGGTTGGTCTGGCCCTGGCACTATGTCCCATCTCTCACCCCCGAGCAGTGTCTCAACAACRGAGCCTTCTCAATGGAGAAGATGCAAAGCTGCTTGATCCCTGTCTAGCCAAGAGACAGCCCCCTTCATTCTCCCCAAACTCGATCCAAATGACCCCTCTGACCCCTGTCATGAGCCCCAGCCTGGCAGCAGGGTATCTGCCATGAGGATTCTTGCTCCATCTCCCTCTAGTCCTTCTGGGCCTCTGGCTGGCTCTGTCTGTGAGTCCTTCTCCTCTCCCTCTAGGACACTGGGACTCAGCAGGCTGGGCTCTGTGCCTGGGGAGGAGGCCAGCAGCCCCCAACCTCCCACTGCTCCCACCATGGAAACTCTTCCTCCCCTCTCTCTGCTCTTCTCACTCTGCCTGGCCATTCTTCCCACCTCAGGGTCTCAGGTATCCACCTGCTCCAAAATGAGACCTTTCTCCAGGTCTCTCTCCTGAAGTCTAGACACACTGACTGCTCTCCACATCTTCTCTGGGTGTGAGTCACTGTGCCCATCACCCAAGTGAACATCACCCTTGATGCCCTCCAGGTCAGGTCTACAGCCAATCAACGCAGGTACTGCCTGTCCCACCCACTAAAGGCCTGTTGTATCTGCACGCTCTCCATCATGGCAGTCTCCTGCTGGCAGTACCTGGCCAACCCCTCTATACAGCAGTCCCAGTCAGCTGGTTGACCTGCCTATGGCACACCCTCCCATAGGACCATTCTGTGGCCTCACTGCCATCAGGATGAAGCACAAGCTCCTGGGCATGGTCAAAAGGGCYGAGGTCTGCACTGACACTTGCAGCTACTCCTCTCTACCCTCCCTGCCCCTCTTATACCAGGTCCAGGGCCCTGGTGTCCCTCTCTAGTGCAGCCCCAGGGCCTTGGCTCAGCTGGCGCCATAACAGGTTGATCCTCTTCCCCCACCCCTCACCTGGTCATCATCTGAGCTTTGCTTCCCTGAGTCCTACAAGGACTCACCCATCTCTGCAGTTCTTCCCAACGGTGTCCATTCAGAAGTTCCCCAGACTCCCAAAGACACTCTGGCACTTCCCCATCTGGGGGTCTGACCCCCACACAGACCAGATGGGAGCCACGTCTCCTGAGTCCAGCTTAGAGTGGGTGCCACCTGGGTATAGGTGGACTCTCAGGAGTGGGGATGGGACTGGAATACAGGTGACCTTCAGGGTTTGTGGGGATCGTAGGGGAAGGTAAGGCTCTCACCAGCTATTGCGGGGGTGACAGCCACAGAACGAGATGTTCTTCATCTGGAAGAAGTGGCTGCAGCGCTGAAACTAGAGCAGAGGTAGAAAGAGGTGTCCAAAGTTAGAGAGAAGAGAGCAGTGGCCACTGCGAGCCCCCACTGCTGGACATCCCTGCCAGCCTGCCCCTAGGCCATACCCTCTTACTCCCCTGCGCCAGTATCTTTCTGACCCCAGTCTCCCACATCCCCACCTCGGGTCCTCCTCCACTCAGACTCAGCTTGACCCCCCGCAGAGAGATCTCGAGGTCACAGGAGGCAGGAGGGCGTAGGTGGACAGTCAGTTTCCGGGCAGTAGCAATCTGAGGAAAAATGTTGTGGAGAAAGAAGGTCTTCAGGGCCTACAAGGGCTTCTCTCTCTCCCACTGGTAAACTATGGTTCTGTTMTTTTCAGATCGACAAAGACTCTTGCCAAAGACCCATACAACATGATTCTGAAGGATGAGAAGGTGGTCTTATCCATCCTGGGCCTCAGGACCAGCCAATCACTGCTCTATCTTATCTCTCGCTCCTCTTGGCTCAAGTGCCAGGAGTTCTGATTCTTGGTTTCTCACTGCCTGGTTCCAATAAACCTGTAAACCCTGAATGCAGGACTGATCTGTCCTGCTTCCTGCTGTCCTCCAAACTCAGCCCCAGGCCTGGCAGGTGGGCAGGCACTCACTAAATGTCCACTGAGCAAATGAGTAAGCGAGCAAATAACTCCTAGGGAAGGAGCCCTGAGAGTTGGTCTCAACTTTCAGACAGGAGGAGCACTGGCTAAAGAGGAGGTGCCAATGGAAAGGTGAGCACCCAGTCAGCAGATGGAGACCCGGGGTGAGGGGACAGCTGCCACACTTTGCCCTAGGTCTGTCTGCTCAGCCTCTGAATCAGGGCCAGGGTACCCACCTCTGAGCTGTCCCCACACTCTTCCCTGGAGGATGTGGGAGGCCTGGAGCATCAGGGAACTGAGCCAGCCTGTGCCCACCCTCATTTCCAAACTGACCTTCTGCATGGCTGCACACAGGATGCCATTGCCCTGGTGACATGGCACCTCCACAGAGCCTAGGAACTGCACATCGAAGCGCTCCACCCAGCAGGGGCTCCGCTTGCTCCCTGGGGGTCACATGGGTAAGGTCAGGGGGGTGACGGAGAGAGTCTGGGGAGATAAGCCGCTCCTCGGGGATGGGGCCTCACCCAGCAGGTCCTTGGCAGGGCCGGGCACTGCGTGGGCGTAGAAGGCAGGGAACACACCGCGTTCCCCAGTGCGCATATTGAAGCCCCGGCACCAAAAGTCATCTTCCTCAGCTTCCACCAACACTGGGTCATCCACATCCAGCTCCAGCTCATCAGGGTGGCGAGGGATGAACCTGAGGTGAGGGGAGAGGTCACTGAAGTGGGGCAGGCCTGCTGGGTCATGCCTTGAGGTGTCCGGTTTGTGGAATGAGGCTAGGGATCACCAACAGGAAGGGGAAACTATACCTGAAGACAGCCCGATGGGTCTGCTCTCTCTCCTCCCCATTGACCAGACAGGAAAAAAGGCCAAAGGACTCAGTGCCTGAGACAGACAGAAGAGGCAGAGAAGGAGAGAGGCAGACTCAGGGAAAAGGCCAGGGCTCCACGGGCCTGGCTTTGGAGGATGTTGGAGGCCTGGAGCCTCAGGTTACTGAGCCAAGTTCCTTCCTCCCACAGGCTTCTGTGGTGTCCTAAGTCCAAGAGGGAGAGAAAAACCAGCCCACCAGGGGCCGGGACAGAGTAGACCCTCCCCAACTCCTGGCCCACAGACAGGGCTGGGGAGGGCAAGCCCTGCGTTTTGGGATCATGGGCCACCCTGGTCCCAGGGACGCCTGGGTGCTTTGGGGGACCAGATGGGACCTGGGCCACCCTCTTTCCCCGACCTTCCACTCACTGGAGGATCTAGATGTGCTGTTGACAAAGACATTGAGGAACTTCTTGGAGAAGGTGAGGTCAGGACTGTCTGGAGAGGCATCCCCAGGGACCTGATCGCTGCCTAGCAGCGCAGCCCCCACCTCCTCCTCGCTGGCCTCGCCGCTGCTGTCCTCTTCGCTGTCGTGGCCCAGGCCTGCACAGCGGCGCAGGCTCACCAGCTCCAGCTGTGTGTGCTCATCCACCACCAACGTGTACTTGACGGCATCGTAGACCAGCGAGGCGTCCCGCGGCGCTGCGGAGCTGATGCTCCTGCCCCCTGGGGGCCCCACGCTGTCCTCAGCATCCTCCTCATCCTCCTCTTCCTCCTCCTCCGAGCAGGCAGCAGAGTAGGCGCGGCCAGGGCGCGAGGTGCGGCCAGGCGCGGCCCACAGTGGTGTGATGGTGTCACGTGTGGGGTTGCTGAGGAAGAGGCAGGGCCCTGGCGGTGCGGTGCCAGGTAGAGGTGCTGCGGGGGCGGGCGGCGGTGGCCCACACAGGGTCTCCATGTCCACCAATTCCACACCTGGCCCCACGGCCACGTCGGGGTCCTGGGAGTCCTCCACGGCCCTCCCGGCTGGCGACAGAGGCTCCCCGGGCAGGCGCTGTGCGGGAGACAGGCACTGGCCAGGGCACCGGATGGGCGAGGAGCCCTCGGAGATCATGCGGCTCACCAGGTTGCTGAGCAGCCAGGGCGAGTCGGCCTCCTCGCTGAGGTCGGGCTCGGATTCGGACCCCGACTCATACTCGCTGTTGGTGTCGTCAGGGCCCACCGGCAGGAAGGCCGGGCGGCGCGGGGGTTCGTGCAAGGGTTCGGGCTCGGAAGCGGGTGAGGAAGCCTCCTCGATGGAGTTGGTGAGGTGCGAGGAGCGGCCACTGCTGCTACTGCCGCCATCGCTGCTCAGCTCCAGCTCCGTCTCCGAGATGGAGGAGATCATGCGCCCCAGGCGCACGCCGCCGGCTTCCTCCAAGTCAGAACCCGGGGAAGACAGCTCCTGGCTGCTGCGCCGTCCCCCGTGGCCCCCGCTGGAGCGGCTTCTCAGGTCAGCCTCTATGCCGGGATCCGAGGAGGGTGAGGCTCCACCTGGCGCTTGGGGCTCCGGCGGCCGGTTCCCTTCACAGTCACAACCCGGACACACGAGTGACTGCTCTTCACAGGGCCCCTCCTCCGTGGGTGGGAGGGGGCCAGGGAGCTCTAGGGGGCAGGGGTAGGGATCAGTCACCACTGGCCGGTCCTCCTTGGAGCAGGCAGCTGCCCCCCACCCCACCAGGCTCACACCCCTCACCTCCAAGGATCTCCTGAGCCTGAGAGCACAGCACTGTTTCCTGCCAGGAGGCTGGGGGCGCGGGGGCAAAGCCTCCGTTGTTATTCAGGGAGTCCTGGAACAGAGGGACAAGAAAGCAGACTGGGGAGGAGCTCCGGTTTCCAGGGGTGGGGGGACTTGCTGCCATGGGGTGCAGAATCTCAGGTGCTACGCATCAGGCTCAGCTCTGGGATGCTACAAGTCGGGACCCTCACCTGGGCTCCCAGGGAAGTGAAGTGAAGGGTGGTGGGCCGGTGCTTGTGGGGCTCTTCCAGGGAAGGGGAAGGGATAAGGGGCTTTTGGGTAGATGCCTCTGATTCAGGTCCTCCTCCCTCCTGGCACTCCCCATCTCCCTCTTCTTCCTCCTCCTCTTCTTCCTCCTCCTCCTCCTCTTCCTCCTCTTCTTCATTGTCATCAATCATCTCAAACTCCTGGAAGTCATCCTGGAATGAGCAGATGGGGTGCGGCTGCTCTGAGCGTCCCAGGGAGAGGCTGTCCTGCAAGAAGGAGTGAGATGGGCAGGGCTGGGTCAGAGTGCAACAGAGACCTGGGTCCCAAGTGCCAAGAGAGGGAAAAGCAGGGAGGACTCACTGGAGACCTCCTTCCAGTTCACTCTGGCCCCCACCAACAGAGTGATTTTTTTTTAATCTTTATTTATTTTTATGTGGTGCTGAGGATCGAACCCAGGGCCTCACACATGCTAGGCAAGTGCTCTACCRCTGAGCCACAATCCCAGCCCCTAGAGTGATGTTTTTAGAGATCTGCTTAAGATGCACAGGGATTGCTTCATTTCTTGAGAAAGATTCAAATTCCTGAGACTGAGTGACATATTTCCATAGCACCCCCAATCCACCTTCTAAAGCCTTATCTCAGTCAAAACCCCATCACATTGAACACTGGCACTCTGTTTCCTTCATAGCATTTTCCCCCCTTCACAGCATTTAACACATGATTCACAATCACTGAACATGTTTTTTGGTCTGTCTCCTCCACCATGCCACAAGCCCCACCAGGGCAGGATATACCCATGCTGCGCATTGGTACACCCACCTAGGGAACAGCACCTCAGGCTCAGTGGATGTTCAGTAAGTAGCAAAAGAATGCATAAATGAAGAGACAGCCTGCACTCCGAGTATTCACCAAGTTTGCACCAACCCCAGGGCCTCTGGCACAGCCAATCCTTCTGCCAGCAATTCCTCTTCTGCATCTTCCTTTCTGCCCCATGTGCCTGGCTCCTGCTAACCTCAGGGCACGACTGACCTTTCTTCTGAAAAGTCTCTCAGTCCTATCAGGTATCCTTYCCTGTCTTCAAACCTGTACAGTGGGAATCCAGCTGCTGACACTTGAGGAGCTATTGTCTCCTTTTGCCCTTCTCCCCAGCTAGGCTGCAAGCCCCCCAAAGCAGTTGTCCTATTCCACTCCTAGCACCTGGAAGCCCAGCTCTTGCCACACAGCAGTTGCTCAGAGTGGATGAAAACAGAAACATGGAGACAGGAGGACCAGAAGGGGGAGAAAAAAATTTAAGGGGTGGAGCCTTGAGACAGATGGAGGCAGCAGAGATGGGGACAGGGCAGGGAGGGGACAGATGATACGGTCGCTGAAGGTGTTAGATCTTTGTGGAAAGTAATCTGGGGACTGAGGGCACCAGAGTGAAGGCAACCTCCCCTTTGTAGGCCTTGCATAGCACTAGGCTTCCAGTGTGTTAGGAAGACGGTGTTGATGCTGAGGAAGCCCCAAGGCCAAGTAGCTAAAAGGCAGGAGCCATCAGAGGATTTCCTGTGCCAAGGCTTAGCTCAGACTTGCCCCAACCCCAAGTGAAGGCAAGGCAGAGCCTAAGCAAGGCCCTCCCTCCCTTGACCAGGTTCTTTGCTCCCAGCCCATTCCCCCACCTTCTCACAGTGGTCCGAATCGTAGCTGAGACCCAGGCCACAGTCATCGGTGATCTCCGACAGGTCTTCATCATCAAATTCTTCCAGGCTTATGTCCTGGGGAGGCCTGGGGAGGAGGCCCAGGTCAGGGAGCCACTAACCCTGGACTCCCCAGCTGGGAGGTGATACTGAGGAAGGGTTGAGGGAGAACCCCAACTCTGAGGCCCCCAACTCCTAGGCCCACATCCTGCTATCATCTTGACCCCAAGCTCTGCTCTCCAGAGGACGTGCGGGCCAGGTCAACCCAGAGGAGCCACCCTTCCCCCTCTCCCCTCCTCACTAAGCTCCAGGCCCCAGTGGGTCACAGCCTCAGCCTCTGGGGAGTCGCCAGAGCCAGCAGGAGGAGGGGGAGGGGAAGCTGAAGCTGCGGMAGGCAGCGGGAGAGGGAGGGGTCTGGCGCACTCTGTCCCCCCCACCTCCAGGCAGGTCCGTACCTCAAGGTCCCACCCCAATCCCTTCCTCCAGGGCTGCAGGTTTGATTTCAACCCTTTCCCTGTCTGGGACCTCTGGGCTAGGCCTGGGCCTCCAAGGAGGCAGCCCAGCCAGGCCCAAAGGACACTGCTAGGCACAGACCCCGTGCCCCGACAGGCGGCCTGGTAGGCTGTCTTCTAGAGGGTCAGTCCAGAGACCCGTTCTTGACAGATCCGCCGCCGGGCGGGGTGCGGCCGTGTCCGGCGGGAACGGGGGCGTCCCTGGTCTGGGCGACAGAGGTACAGACGGAGGGGCTCTGCGCCGCGGGTGGGGGAAGGGCGGCAGCCGTCAGGGCCTGCGGACCCGAGAGGGGCCCGGGTCCACGAAGGTGGGGGGGCGCGGCCGGGGCAGAGGGGCCCGGGGCCCGGGCCGAGGGCGAGGGAAGGCGCCGGCCGCGAAGGCCGCGGACGCCGAGGGCGTACCTGCAGCCCGGCGGCGACAGCGAGTGGAAGGTGGAGAGGGAAAACATCTCCGCGCGATCCGCCATCTTCCCGGGAAAGGCCGTCCGGCTGCGGGGGGGAGGGGTGAGGCCACCGGCGCCCGGGGCCGCTCCCGCCCTCGGCCCCGCGCTCCCCACTCACCTCGTGACACGCCCTGCGACACCCGCCCGCGGCACACCTCGCCGCCCGGCCAGGACACCGCGGCAGCCAGCGCCGCGCCGCAGGGGGAGGGCGGAGGGGGAGGGGGAGGGGGAGGGCGGGGCGGGGCCTGCGCGGGGGGCGGGGAGGCGGCCGGCGGGGGGCGGGGACGGGGGACGCGGGGGGCTCTCGGGGAGGCGGCCGGCGGGGGGCCGAGGGGCGGCGGCCGGGTCGGACGCGGGCTGGCGGGAGGGGCGGGGGCGGGGGTCGCGCGGAGGCTGTGGGTGGGACGCAGGTGGGCTTCCCCCTCGGGCGGCAGAGCCGTGAGCCGAGGGGAGGGCTGCAGGGCGGAACCCCGGCTGCGGCCGTCGGCCCGAGGCTGTGGGAGGTCCCCGCTCCGTCGGGGAGGGCGGCGTGCGGCTGGCCAGGGGGGTCGTCGGGACGGGGCGGGCTCGAGGACCGCGGTCAGCGGCCAGGCGTGAGCCGGAGAGCCGCTCCGCCCGGGTCTGCGCCGCTCCGATCGGCTGCCGGGCGCGGTCTGCGGGAGGGGGGGCTCCCGGGGCGGTGGGTGCGGCCTCCAGAGCTGCGCGAGCACCCGAGGCCGCCGAAAGGCAGAGTCGGGGTCCGCGGTCCGGACCGAGCCCGTGGCAGGGGCGGACGCGCCGGCTGGGGCCGCGGGAGCTGTCCGCCGCCGTGTGCTGACCAGGGCGGGTCGGAGCTGTCCCCCAAAGGGGTGCTGATCGGGCCCACGGAGATGGCTCCCTAAAACCTTCTGATGGGCCGGAGCAGCCTTTCCCCTGACGGTGCCGGTCGGGGTAGCCAGCCCCAGGGTAAAGCTGAACGTTCTGTGCACAGAGCAGACTGCAGTCTGCACAAAGGCACGGACAAGTGAGCACTGAGATCATGTTCATTCGACTGAAGCAGTGCCGGGTCCGAGACGGCTCGGGCTCTGCCCTGGTAAGGGCTCCTCTGTGAGTGAAGGTTGAAGGAGAGCTGGGGTCAGCGTGGGAAGGGCGGGGCTGCTCCGGGCCAGCACAGGAGGAGAACCCAGGAACTTCGTGGAGATTTGCCTGGAGTTTCAGCCACAAGAGGGCAACGAAATTTCCCCTTTTCTCCAAGATGGGTATTCTGTGCTGAGATTTCTTTATATCTAAATGTCCTTTGGAAAATCATTTCTAAGGGATGGTGAGTGATTAATGGCTGGAAGCGACAGGGAAGAGGAAGCTCACAGAGTCAGGAGGGACAAGACCATTTTTGGGGGGCAATCTCTCCAGCTCAGCGGCAGCCTATGGCTGGCGGATGACCGGTCTTCCTGTCTACTATGCTCTAACCTCAACTTATATATTTCTTAAAGCATTTTTCTAGAAATGGCCTCTATTTCATGTTTCCCTTCCATGACTGGAAGCTGCTCAGGCAGCACAGAGTGAGTGAATAAGAAGCTCACAGGCTGCACCAAAGTCAGGGACACTGGGTCTCTGCCATCATAACTTTTCCCCAACATTCCTGATTTCTGAGGTTCAAGGAGTTCGGACATATTCACTAGTCATTTGCCCTGATTCTCCCTGTAAAACCCCAGAGTTCCCCCAGAGTGTACAAAGGGTTTTGGACCCTAACTTCCCAGATTTTCTTTTGACCCTGCAACTTGTCATCAAACTGGTTAACTTGGGCATTCACATAAATGAGTCCATCCAACACACTGGTCAGCCATTCCCTGATTTCTGATTAGTCAATGATCTGTGACTCTCACAACTCTGATGATTTCTCCAAAAAGAGCCCCTGGGACTCACCTCCATCTGGAATTGCACCCATCTTGAAGTCATGTCAGATCACTGATCTCGTCTCCCTACAAGCCTTCTCAGATGACCACCTCCAGATTCCAAGAGTATAAGCACCATCTTTTCTGCACAACCCCTACCCCCATCTTGTCCCCAGAGTGCAGGTGGAGGGTTACCTACCAGGGAGTTGAGAGACTGTGGCACCAAACTTTGGCCACAAACTTTATGGACATGAGCAAACTGCTCAACCATCAGGACCTCAGTTTCTTTACACAATGGTTGTGCTGAAGATGCATGGCAAGTGTAAAGCCCCCAGGATATATTCAGTGTTCCCTCTGCTGCTCATACTGGGGTTATCCTCCTCCTGGCCCCTCAGGACCACTCTGCCAAGCCCAGGAATATATGAATGAAGGACAGAATCTCTCTCCTGAAAAATTATATTCCCTCCCATTGTACACATTTTATCAGATTTGTACACTAACATCATGTGACCCTCAGCGCTTCCCTGCACAGATGGCAGGACTGAGGCCCCCTGGAGAGTTGAAGTCACTTCTGGAAGTCCTCTCCCCTCTGCTGGAGGCCACGGGCCCTGCTACTTCCCTGAGCATGCACCATCAGTGCCCTTCCAGATGCCCTTCCCCTTACATAGTTTGGTTTGTGCTGCTGGGGATTTCGAGGATGTTCTATTTTAACAGTTTTTTCCCCATTATGGTCCATTAATGGCATGGACAGTAGTGCAAAGCAAAAAACTGGTTGGACTTACAAGGGAGAGTTAGAATAGTAACATATCTTAACAGTACTGACCACGACAATCCTACAAAAGTCAAAGGGCATTTTCTGACAATTTTTATAGACTAAAAAATAATAAATGCAAACCATCAGTCTGTTGTTCTACTCATATTGCACAGAAATCACAAATACCAAAAAAGGCTGAAACTGCTAACAGAAATATGTAATAAAAATGCTAAGAGTTATTTTGATTAGGATTTTGTCATGACCAACAACTTGACCACCTCCCAAATCTTGATTTTAAACATCCAGTACTCTCACCATGACCTCCTGTTTTTCTTGACCTCTTGCTATATTTCAATATAGCCATTCTTTAACTATATAAGACTGTCAGTTACCATTGCTATGTAACAAATTATCAYCAAATTTAATGGATTAAAACAACTGACTTATTCTGAGATCTGAAGTTCTGGGAAAATTCTGCTGGGAGTTCTTTCCTGGACCTCTCCTGAGGTTTGGGTACAGTCCGAGCTGGGCTGGGTATCCAAGATGGCCTGCCCATGTGGTGGACCGCTGATGCTGAGTGTCTACAGGGTGCTTAGTGAGGGCATTCCAGCAGCCTCTCCAGCAGGGTGTTTTTGGGGCAGTTGAGGGCCAGGTGGAAGTGGCATTCCTTTCTGACCTAGCTGTGGTATTGCCTCTGCCATCCCTATTGGTCAGAGCAGCCCCAGCCAATGCAGTTAGTGGAACCTTAGAGCCACCTCTCACTGGAAGGAGTCAGGGCTATAAGATGACCACAAAGCTCCATTCCATTGATCCTCCCACAGCTCTCATTGCCTACCCAAGTCCCTCCTTGAAACTGATCCTCTCTCTTGCATCAACTTCTTTTCTAGATTCTCATGATCTGGTGTTAAGTAAATGGCGTATTCTCATATCTGTTTGCATAAGAAATCCAAAGTCATGGGTTACAATACTGTTTTGCCTTAAAGGAAATGGTACTTAAAAATAATTTATATGGTTTTAAGAAATAAATCTTACAAATAATTATACATTTCAGAAAATAGATTTCCACCAGTGCAGAAGAGTATTATGACAAAAAAATCAGAGTTGAGGTTTTTGTTGTTGTTGTTGTTGTTGTTTTGCAATTCTCCTGCCTCAATCTCCCAAACCACTGGGTTACAGGTATGTGCCACTGCACCTGGCAGAGTTGAAATTTTTAAAGGAATTGCTACTATTGGATGAGGGGGAGTGTCTGAAAGCTCCATGTTTTATTAGATTCCTTCACACAAATTACATGCCCAAAGTCAGTTTCACTGAACACAGAGCAGACATTTACACAGTCTTCACACTGCTCCAGTGTCACAGCTTTAAAGAGGACTGCACCGGCAAAGGTACTTCTGAGAGTCCAGAGACTTTCCCATTTACTGTGATAAATGCAACAAATCCCAGGACTTATCAGGCCAGAGAACATGTGCTGAGCATGGCTCCTCATATTTCCCCAGGTCCTCCTAAGAGATGTCCTGAAGATGGGGGTGGTGACAGTGTGCTGCCTGACGCAATGGGGAGACTCCTGATGGGAACAGCAGGCCCTGAGTGGAGACTCACCACAGTTTTCTACTCACAATCTTGTCATCTGAGGACTCTAGCATAATTACCTTCTTTGGTTAACAAAAGCTGCTTTTACCAAGCATTATCTCCCAGATCAATGTCCAGGCTCTAGACAGGACCCTTGGAGACCAGAGGTGAGGTAACAGGGACCAGGTAGCTAGGAAGAGGCTCCTCTGCCCTCCCCCAACATCCTGGCCCAGCCACACTCCAACCACCCAGGCTCCTGCACTCCAAGTCGGCTGTGCTTGTGCCTGCATCCCCTTCTCAGACACTGCTCCTCGAGAGCCCCAGAGAAGTGGACCCTCTGTTGGCCACCATCAGGGCCTTAAATGAATTGGGCTGGTTCATCCTGAACAGAGCCTAAGAGACTTTAACTTTGTTTACTTCAGTCCTAACTTAAATTCTTTACATTTTAATTTTTTCAGACCTACAAGAACTGTTATTGTTGCTTTAAACAGTATTTACTTAAATTTATTTAAATGTTCACCTCTCTCTAGTCTTCATTCCTTTTTGCATGTCAGCCCTTTCTGGGATATCTTTTTTTCTTGCTTAGAGTACACCTCCTAGAATTTTCTGTAACACAAATCTCTGGGTGGTAAATTCTTTCAGGTTGTCTGAAAATGTATTTTGTTCTGATTCCTGAAAAGCTTTTGCTGGATGTACAATTCTAGGTAAGGTCTGCACTCTCTGACTCTCTCCCTGTCTGACCCTTGCTTCCCACTCTTTGTACAGAACAGGCCTGTTCCCACCTCAGGGCCCTTGCACTAGCTCTTCAATCCCTTAGACCATTTCCCTGACATGTCCTCTAGAAGCAGCCTGTTCCTGTCTATACTCATTAGCACATGAGCTCCAGAAGGGCAGAGGAGAAAATCTGGACACAGACACACATAAGGGATGACCACATGAAAACAAGAAGAGAGGGCTGTTCGCAAGC